TTGGAGGAGGCAGGAGCTGAAGGGTTTGCATTTTTTTGCCTGTGGAATACAGTTTATTTAGAGCAGAAAGATGGAGAGGGGCAGCAGGCTGCCTGCGTGTCCCGTGTGGCCCTGAAATGCCACCCTATGGGCTATGCATGTGCTGGGTGTCCCCGTGGGTGCTGCAGATGGTGGCACCAGGGTGCAAGGCAGCAGGGAGGTTGGGTGCCAGGAATCCTTCGTGCAGCTGGGGCCCTCCTGCCCTGCTGTGACGCAGCAGCTGGACAGGGAGTTCAGGGGCTCCGCTCACTTCTCTCCCTCTGGATTTTCCCCGTGTAGGCAGTGCCAGCCCATGGTTTCCCCAAGTGTCACAGCCTCTGAGTGCAATCACAGCCTGTGGTGTCCCCAGCTACAATCACAGTTTATGGGTGTCCCCAACTGCAATCACAGTTTATGGGTGTCCCCAGCTGCAATCACAGCACAAGAGTGTCCCCAAGATTTCACTGCCTGCCCATGAGTGTCCCCAAGTGCTGTGCCAGCACCTGATGTGCCCCCAAGACAACACCAGTAAGCAGGGTCCTTCAGTCCCCAGGGTGCAGTGACAGGGCATGGGGTGAGCCTGGCGCAGTGCCACCTGTGCAGTGTCCTCTGGCACTGGGAACAGCTCTGGGACAGTGCAGAGGCAGGTCTCAAGCCCTTGGGGTGGATGGCTGGTGGTGGCCCTGAGTCACAGCACACTGCCAGCACATGCAGTCCCCAACTGAAGGGCCAGACATGGTGTGTCTTCCACAGTGGTGAGAGGCCACAGGGGTCCCCCCAGCCCAGCACCACTGTGGAAGTGCCACCAGAAGTGCCCTCACCACCGTGCTCCAGGGCGACCCTAGCACAGTGCTGCTGGGGTGTCCCTTGTGCAACAGCCATGGGGTGTCTCTAGCACGATGCCACCAGGGTACCCCTAGTGCTGTGCCACCGTTGTGCCCCTCTCGTGTTGCCAATGGAGTACTCCTCTCCTGGTGTGTCCCCCACACAGGGATGTCCCTCACCCAGTGCCACCGGGGTACCCCTAGAGCATTGCCCCAGGATGCCTCTGATGCCACCGGGGTACCCCTAACACAGAGCCACCGGGGTACCCCTAGAGCATTGCCCCGGGATGCCTCTGATGCCACCGGGGTACTCCTAACAAACAGAGCCACCCGGGGTACTTCCAGCGCGGCGCTCCGGGGTGCCCCCCGCCCGGTGCCCCCGTGAATGCCGCCTTCCCCTCCCTCCCCCCGCCCCGCACGGTGCACCGGCCGGTGGGAAAGCCTGTCCCTAAAAGGAG